ATAATAACTTTACTATAGCGCGAGTAAGCTCTAAGCTCTACATCGTGGTATAGGTAGTAAATGAGCAACTGCATAGTTCTTTCGTTTTATTCGTCAGACGTAAATAACTAAATGCCTCAGCGACTTCTTTTTGATGGCTGCGTTTATGTTCAATCTAAAAATAGTTAAATTTTGCATTTTCCAAATATGTAAAAAGAGTAACCAGAGATCCTATTTCCACATTTTTTTTTTTTTGTTTTTTTTTTTTTTCGAGAAACAGGAAAAAAATTTGTAACTCTGTTAGAGGACGAAATATCTCACAAAATAGCAGAATATTTCTGTTTGGAAGTAGGTAGCAGCAGAATTTCGATTTCTCCCCTGCTCTCTCTTCTTTTATTACATTTCACTTTATTAAAGCTGCTATGGTGATATTTGAATACCTTCTTACATTCATACTTCTGAAGGTGGGGAAATGTGTATCTCACAATCGAGCAGGAGGGCCCGGTATTCAACCTTAATAATTTAATTACCGATTCGGTCGGATATTTATTGCAATTCAGCGATAAATTCATATAAATAGCGGGCCGAGACAAGCAACAGACAGACTTGAACCAGTGTTAGTACCGCCACCCTGGGATCGCCCCTCTGGAGTCAAGTCTCCCCAGTGCTAGTATCGCCACCTTGGGAAAGCCCTTCTAGATGAGGATCAGTTGAACAACTATTAGAAATCAACGTAACATTGCAGGTATTCTTTCTATCAGAACAAACGGATTGTAATCACATCAGGTTTGTTTATGAGGCGTCAAAAAAGCAGCTAGGGGCGTTGCAAACCGGATGACAATTGTTTGAAACAAACCTCAAGTGACTTCGATAATTTTGTTCAGATCGAAAGAATAGGTACCTCTATTATAGTAAACCGACATTCCGAAGTAGCGTCCGACGTGTCGCCCTATCCGACCCCGCAAGGAAGAGTCATGCATCTTGGCGGATTCATGTAAGGATTTCGTAGAGCAAATATACATATTTTTATATAAACTGAGCGAGTTTCTCTCCATCCATCCACCGTACAACCCCCGCCACAAAAAAGTTGTGACAATATTTCTGTTAATTTCTTTACAGTCCTAGTTTCCGAAATTAATTTCTCTTCCTAACTTAAATACATTTCATCAAGGCAATTATTTATTGAGTCGAAGGACTTTGAAATAAGTGCGTGTATAGAAATATCTGTCACAACAGAAAAGGCATTTTTGGAAATAAAAACCCGATATTGGCACTTCTTATCAGAATAAACTTTTCAAATATGAAATAAAAATAGATTTGTAGGGTAGATGAAGTCGGAAACCAAATATCCTGAGTATGATAAAGTGGATAAGTTTGACTCTTTTATTACGTATTTTGAAAAACTTTTCAGACAAGCAGCCTAAACAAACCTTTTCCAAATATTGATGGAACGTGCTTCTGCAGCGGCTTTCCAATAGTTTTTATACATTTTAAAATACATCAGCATCCCATGACAAGAAAAATAGCTCAGCTTATGGCGATTAATCTTGAATATATTCGTTGGTGGAATTTTATTGAAAATGCCCTTAGAGTTCAGGTACTTATAGTTCACCCAAGAAGACATAGGATTTTGGTGAAACTGATCATTTGGATTTGATTCTTATTTATGGACTATTGTTTTTTATTTATTACTTGAAAATATGTCTTTGTGATATTTGGCCAGGCAAAGACTTTTGTAAACTTTACTTTTAAATCCACTAAATCAGATTAGAGTTTTTATTCTAGATAAACAATGCAGGAGCAATTTTAATGATTACTATAATTTGTAAGGAATTGTCAACTACAAAACAATCTAGGTATTTATGCGTACTTTTAATTAAAATTTTCGCGTTAAAATCTGTAGTCTCTGCTGATTTTCCTAAACCAATCTGATTTTACTAAAATTTGGTTTACACAAAAAAAGCACCTGAAATATAAACAATATTATATACACAAAATATACACAATATATAATTTGAATGATATTACCTAATATCAGAAGCATTTAAATATCATTAATAATAAATAAATAATAAATTAAATTAAAACAAAAAGGTGCATTTATGAAAAGAAAATTTGAGATTGACCACCAATTATTTATCGTCAAAGTACTTATCCAAAACACAGTCACCATATAATATAACAATAATAGTTATTATTTAATAAGCAAATTACCGTATGGCAACTAGCACATCTACGGTTTATTTGAATTACTTACTGGATAACATCCCTGTCAGTTTTCCATATTATTTGGTCGGTGGTTCATTTGAGTGAACAACAAAAAAGTGCAGTTAAATAAAAAGAAAATATAAAGTTTATACATTGTGTCACAAATATAAGACGATTTTGTCTTGTGACAAAATGTATATATAGTACACAAAAATAAATAATAATAAAGCAGGCAAAAATCGCATGCAGAGAGATAAACCCAAAAAAAAACAGAAATTAAACAAAAAAATAATATAACTTGAGGGCGAGTCGGGAGGCAAGGACGTGCATCAAAAAAATATTTTTCTCTTCTCCGGACCGGATCTTCAAAAAAAAACCGGGGATAATTTCTGGGTTTTCTTTTTTAAATTGTATCGCCGCCCCATACACAATGCAAAAATGTCACAATGTTAAAAAAGGGGGTTACATTAAATCAACCCGCCCTTTTTCTGAGACAGAAGGAGGGTGTTCAAAAATCGATTTTCTCCTGCTGTCCTAAGCGATTATAAAATAAAATTATATAGGATTCTAGCCGTTGCACCTGCAAAAATCATTCGCAAAAATCACAAAAATCACACAATCCAAAAAACCGTTTACCCTTAGCCAATCGTTACAAAATGAGTATTAAATTTTGGAAAATGGTTGATTATTAATACTTATTTATGATTGACAGAGGTAAATTAAAAAAAGTGGCGGCCAAAAATTGTAGGTAGTACCTGGCAATAAAAAAAAGAAAAAATACAAAAGGACAGCGCTCCTTGCTACTCCAAAAAAATATGTAACAGAGAAAAAGGAGTGACTTGGGTTGAGACTTTGGAAAGAAATCACTTTAATACTGTTTATAGTTATTTTTTGTATTTTTATCAATCATATGTAGAACCATTTTGATTTGTGTTGTTATCAGAATCTTGTGCATAAAACCAATAAAACCTATATGACAATAATTGAGCAAATTTCCAGGAAGTCAAGATCTGTTTTTCCGGCATGATAGGGCTACTTTGAATAAATAATAACAGAGAGCATCAACAAATTCATTGAACAAATTATTTTTCTGTCGCATCAACTCCAAATGGGGAAATATAACGTTGCCAGGGTCTTCGGACCTTTCGACATGTGATAAGTGATACTGGGGCTACTCAAAGCACATTTTTGTTGACAAGAGAGTTACAAAGAAAAATCTTTAAAAAATTACCAATATCTGGATTCGGATTCAAGAATATTTGCAAAGAATCGGATATCATTATATCAGGCGTTATATGAAAAACATCTTCCTATTTATGGAGCTTATGGTATAGGTACATTACTTAGGATAACTTCGCTTGGCCCTGGAATAATTAAGTTTCCAAAACTTTTATTAAGGTAGATAAAGTGCGACAACTGAATGAACCTTGGCAACGTATGAAGAAGCAATGGGAAAAACGAAAACCTATACTATACGACGCAACAGATCCCCGACGTGGTGCATTGCGAAAATTGCAGTTACCCTGACGCGACGATCCGCGTATATGTATATTTAATCTCGCGCCAATCAGGAGAGTTTTGCCCGCATTCCTTTCACACAGGTTCATTCAGTTGTCGCACTTTACTTGTACTCGTACCGAAGGATAAGATAGCGAGAAACTTGTGCATGCCAAGCATGCAGATGGATAGGCCACCTTTACATGGCAAATTTACCGAATGAGTCATGGTTTTCGTACGAGCCTGCCGTTTAGTTTAATTTCGAACATTGATATATATTTTCCGCTGTTAGACCTATATTTTTGTGCAAATTATCCCCATATCAATATTCTATGTCAATTTTTATATGGAACAACAAAAACTAAGTCAAGCTGACACTAATAACAGCAACTTCAGCTTATTAGCAAACCGAAGTTGATCAATTTATTGAACAGTAAAGTATGAATAATTCAGGTACTTGAATTTTTAAAATATTACAGATTTAAAGTGCTTCTTTCCATAGTAAATACAACTTTGACCGGAAAAAATTACACAAAAAAACAGACAAATATCAGAAAAAAAAATCCATGAGAGAGAAAAGTACTAAAAAGGTACCAACTTGTAAAGAATGTTTTATGCAAGGTGTGCCGTATAAACCAAATCATCGAATTAAAAATTTCAAAAAGAGAACGGTGCAATTGGCCACCAACTAGTCGCCGCTCTAAAAGTAGAGCGCCGATTGTGGCCAATTATTTTTGTGCAACTCAAAGATAAGGTGCGCTGTAAATCATTAACAAAAAAAGCTGCCAAAGAATTGCATCCATCGTGGAATTTAGGCAAATGACTATAAAAATCGTATTTTATTCCGTAATAAAAACAATTCTTTATGTAAAGTATGTCCACTCGTACCTATCAGTGTTCCGGACATTACCTAATATAGTATTTTAGGCCCCCTACAGATTTTTTCCTGGAACTAGTCACTCACGCACGCTTTCACACAAAATTTTGATTTACATATAGTTTCTGTTTTTAGATAAAGGATTATTCAATTTGGGTTAATTCTACAGAGCGTTTTAAGTAGGTATAAAATAGTCTAGGCAGCAGTTTAGTGCTAGAAATGCAAAAGTATGATTAAAAACTGCTGCTATACCAATTTTAATTTTTAAAATATACCTTAATAAATGATGTGAAGGACAAAATTTTGTGTCCGAATTTATTTTATATTGACACTTTGTGAAAAATACAAATTTTTGTCCTCCACATACATGTTATTCCAATACCATTCTTAAAATTAATTATATATAGAAGACACGCCAAATTCTGAAAATTGTACTTACGTCCAAAGGTTTCCTCAACACTATCCAGCCGCTTTCGGGTTGGATTTCAAAGTACTCGAGATCAGCAGGATTCGAGCCAGCGTTTAATGTATAAACAATGGCTCCGTTATTGTCAGCATCTTCATCAGAAGCTGAAACGCGGAGTATGTTTGTGCCTATGCTGGCATCTTGTTTGACGTTTTCGACGTATTTCTACAAAATAATATGAAATTATGTAGTAAGCTTCTTTAAAAACACATCGAGTAAATTGTCTCATAAGAAAAAGCCATATTAGAATATTAGAATTGTTTATAAAATTACAAATTAGAGAGTAAATAGAGTGGAAATACTACTCCAGGGAGCATTTAATTTTATGTGAATATAGTGATACATTTTTTGTAATGCGGTTCACGTTTCTCCTATTTGCTATTCAATCAATCCAGCGTGCATGCCATCGTCCTTGGAGAATCGACAGTATCAGTTTCATATATTATATATTAGAAAATTTCAATTGTGATAGCGTTGCTGTTGTAACGATAAATTTATCATTTCCATGTGCCATTTCTTCTAATTTTCATTATAAATTTGTATTTTCGCCATTTCGGAATCAGCAAAATAATAATTCATAACTTAAGTAATTTGAAAGGTATCTACTAAATTTAATTGATTCAATATAATATCAGTATTGCCATCTATCCATAAAAAAAAAAATGAGCATAAAAATGCAAATATCTGTTATCAGGAGAAGTACTAACGTACCGCCATCTAGTACCTAATAAATTTATTTTGAAATTGTGATGTGATTGGTTTCTTTAACTTTTTTTATTATTCCTCATTGACAGTCATTGATATTTTTATTTGAAGAAATTATGTTTATTCTGCTTTCAGCAAGTAAATATATTTCTGTCTTTCTCCAACGTCTGATTCTGAAATGATTATTTTTTACTTGATGACCTAATTAATTAAAGTCTGTTTTTTTCCAAAGATAATTTCCCCAAGTCAAAAATTTAGTAACTATGTTGGCAACACAAGCCTTTTCTACGTAAAAAATTTGAAAGCATTGACAATTTTACATTGTATTGCCAACATAATGTCATTTTGACTTTTATCTTTAAAAAAAAACACACTTTAGTGATTTTGTGTTTCTAACATAATCTTAAATTCAAATAATTATAATTTGTTAACAATTAGAATGATTCTAGTGTGTTTTTATCTATTCCCATTAATTCAGCGTGGTGTTTCATTAATGAAGTGAGCACGGTCTTTTGTGTGTGTTGAGTGTTGTCTTCTGATTGGTTCAATGGTTACTACGCAGTAAAGTATAAAAAAAACACAGGACTGGTTTTCTTCAAGGGATTTGGTTCTGAAAAGGCCTCTTCTTTTGCAGATCGTTGATCAGGCAAGTCGATTTTCACTTTGTAATTTTTTTCCCTCTTCAGATTTCTAGCTTTTCCCTTAATCTTTTTTCGTTTTATTCCACCATCAGTGTCTACTATACGGTTGGGTTTTTATTACCTGATGAATCCTCTCTTATCTACCTTTAAAATATAAATTTTATATTTTACTTTTTTTCACCTATTGTGAACCTCCATTTTGTTATGTGGTACCACATTTTCTGAGGAGAGTTAATTTAGAGTTTTACCTAATAAATAGGTATTGCTGCTCTGGTATTTAGATTTAATTGTTAGTGTGGGATTATCGTGTGTCCATCCCTATCAACTCTTTACTGAATCCAGGCAGAAACCTACCTGGCCAATTATTGTTTGACTCCCACATTATTTTCTCGAGTAGGGAGAGTGCTGAAAGGGTGACATTTTAAGATAGAAATCCCGATAGGTTGAAATTCATTTAAAAAGTTTTAATTAAAATATCTCAATAATTTTAACAGTTCCTTGGATTAAATTTATTTCACCTTCAGCTTTATCTTATAGTACCAATAGTAGGTACCTTAACTTGAAAGGAAAATTTATCTATTTGGAGAAAATCTATAAAATTATTTTTTTATCTTGTTCAATTTTTCCTATTTTTTTTTAAATTTTTGCCTGTTCAGCGCGCTGCACGAGAGCAGCCTTCTGCTCAATGTTAACGAGCATCTATTACTAATCTTGCTGTACTTACTTACCTACTTAATTATTGCTACTTTTCATTTTATTTATTTTAAATTATCTAATTGTTTTTTCATAAAAATATTTTTCCAATTTGTAATGGTTGCTCATACCCGATTCTGTTGAAAAGGAGTGTCTGCACAACAATAGTTTTATAAAAAACTAATTTTATATTAATTTTTTTCTTTGCAAAATACTCGCTATTTAACAGAATTCAGAGGAATTTAATATTTCATTTAAATTCTTTTCTGGGTGCCTATTTCTCAAGATCATCATTTGGAGTCTGGATCAGCTAGAGTGAAGTCACACCAGCAATCTATTTTGGTTCCTGAATATAGAAAACAACCTGGAGAGCTCCGGATTGGAAAAGTTACATACCGTATCAGTGTCACCAGAACAACCAAACCATTGTCAAGTTGTAAAGAGTAACTTGTTACTTACAGTATTACTTACAGTGTTGCTTATACTGCTATTTCATATTTACATATACCAAATAAAATTATTGTTTGTTGGAATTTGAGTGGTTTCCTTTGCACATAAAGGGGCTACACGTATAATTTCTTTCTGAATTTCACGACCCTATAGGTTATCTTGCTCTAAATCGTAAAACGACTCAAACCCTAGCAACAGCTATGTGTTGTCATCATTATACGAAGCTGATTCTGTGAAATTCTCAAAAAGGACGGATACCAGGTAAAAGTGAACAGAGTTTGATGGTAGTTTACTGGGCTCTTCACACTCTCAAGTGGTCGCCAACATCTAAATGAAATTTGAAGAATATGCCATTGGTTCCTCGAAACTGAAACTCAAACTAGGGCTGAGACATGTGGATAAAATTCATCTTTATTATTTTGACAAGACTGAGAAAAAAAAAATTGTTGACCAATCGAAGGAGCAACTCAAAAACAAAATGCATGCTGGGAAATAGTTCCACCGAACCTTGATTCCAATACCAAACAAGGTATGTATTCTCAAAACGCAATACACCAGATCAAACAATGTGTCCATTTGCGACAATCAAATTTTTTTTCTATTGGTTTTTTCATCTTTTTTCCTATGAGACGTGAGCTTACTCAGTGTTTCTTCTTCCTATAGTCCATCTCCTATCGGAGGTTTTCTATCATCACAGCAATGCGGACCTTGCTGATTGCAGCTGCGAACAGTTGAATATTAGTACAATTAAACCAATCATTCAGGTTCTTCAGCCAGGACAAATGGCGTCTCCCAATGTTCCGCTTTCCACTAATATTCCCTGGACTATCAGAAGAAGAAGTGTGTATTTCTGATGTCCTCCCATTATATGATCCAGATAGTGAAGGTCTCTCTTTTTTATGGTGTTAATGATTTCACTCTCCTTCTACATCTGATTCACCATTTCGGCATTAGTAATTCTATCGGTCCAGGAAGTACGGCATATTCTACGGTAGCACCACATTTCGGAGGCTTGTAGTTTGTCCAAGTAGTTTTTTTGACGGTCCATCTTTTAACTCCATACAAAAGCGCGGAAAAAACTTAACAACGAGGCATCCGCATCCTAAGAATCCTAAGATCCATGTTAATATCCCGACTCGGAAATAAATTTTTCATTTTCATAAATGTTGATCTGGCTATCTCTATCTCTCTTCTTTGATCACCCGTTTGTTCTATCCAAGTATCTAGTTATTCATATAGCGGCAGATTCTCTATCGTGTTTTTTGCCACCGTCAGCTTCACATGGTTCAGATTTTGTGGGAACTATGTAACTATCATTAACTTGGTTTTCTTAGAGTTGATTTTTAGTCGTTATGCATTAGATCGATCATTTAGTTTTTCTAGAGGGTGTTGTGTGTCTTCAAGATTGCTCGTTAGCAAGAGAGTGTCATCAGCATATCTCATATTATTAGGGCTTCGCGAGACCACAAGACTAGTCTTGGTCTTGTCTTGGTCTTGGTAGCAAGACCAAGACCAAGACCGAGACCAAGACCTGATAAATCTTCTCAAGACCAAGACCAAGACTTGACATTCAAGACCAAGACCAAGACTCTCTCTCAAGAATCTCGTCTTGGTCTTGGTCTTGGTCTTAAAAAGAAAAAACGACTCAATATTTATTAAAATATGCAAATTCCTATATCTTCTCCAAATGTCTTTTAAATAAATCAAATTTATTATTTTTTGAAATTCACAAGGTTCATAGGTTTTAAAAATACATACATACAACATAGTGTAGGTAACATTCATTTACACAGAACACATCGATATTTTCCTTATCCCTACATAATACAATACCTAAGTATTGGAATTTCCGAAGATAATTCTTAACTTACTAACTAACCCAAACTAACACAAACCCCACATCTCACCCAAACTAACCCAAAACTATAATTATTGTGAATAGGCCAATAAAATTCAAATGACGTATGTGACTATGTGAGGGTTCTCGAAAACCTTTCTCTGGCCTGAATGCTCAGGTAGGTAAGGTAGGTTTAATCTATGGTTCAAAAAAAAATTATTTTTTTCCTCGGTACAGAATGGCAATTTTATGACGTGTTTGTCAACTTTCCTGTTCCGTTAATATAAATTAAAATTTGAGAATTGATGTTTGTTTGTTCCTCTGTGTTGTGGAATGCCTTATGCGGTATTTTTTAACATGAAACGCTCTTGGTGGTAAAAATAGCCTGTGAAGAAGACCAAATGCATGGTCGAAACGTCGGCATAATTTTTTCAAAAGGGAGGTTTGCATTTTTTTCAAGACTATCGAGACCAAGACCAAGACTGAGCTAGTCTTGTCTTGGTCTTGGTCTTGCAAAGCCCTACATATTATCAATCATTCCCCCATTTATAACTATTCCCACTAACTCAACCTTATTTCACACCACGACAAATCTCTATTTCTTCTGCTGTTTCGCTTTCTACCATTGTATTAGCTTTTTGGCCCTAATATGGATTACTTATTATTCTCACGTTGTCTGAGTCAATTTTTTTGCTGACGAGTATCTGATGTAACTTGTCATATCACACTTTTTCAAAGAATTTATCGAAATTGATGTAACTTGCATACACCTCTCGGTTTATATTAAGAGAGCGCTGGAAAAAAGTACCCAAAAAGCGCCTCTCGTGTTCCAAGTGTTT